TACCAAAAATGTGATCTGTATAAGATTTCTACAGTTATTGTCAAAAGTCTGGTCGGGATAAGACTTCTTCAGTCATTACCAAAAGTGTGATCTGGATCAGATTTCTACAGTCATTGTCAAAAGTCTGGTCTGGATAAACCGCAACAGTCATTGCCAAAAGTCTGGTCTGGATTGACCTCTACAGCCATATATAAAGTGTAGATCCACCTAACACTGCTATATAAAGTGTAGATCCACCTAACACTGCTATGATATAATAGTTCACAGTGTGTTTTATCCATATTTTCTGACAACTTTGCAATCACAAATAGAATGACATCAGAGCATGCAGTTATAATGCACAAATTATGATAAACAAAGCTCTTGACATTCCACAATATGTTCCTAAATATTCCAGATGTAACAACTAATAGCCAGTTTTATTTTTTTATGTGTACACCCAATAAACGTCTTCTGTTTTTATATGAACTGCTAATTTGAACTGCATATGTGTACAAGTCAAGATTAAAAAAAGGCATCCCTTTATATCTTTGTCATTGAACCTATTGGTAAAGTACTAAACACTTTAAAATCTTAAAATTCCTCGTAATATATGAAGGAGGGCTGGCTATAAGTGTTTATAAGATGACGTACCAAGAGATATTTTCCGTGCGCTTCAGCCAGGGACTGTTGTGAGGGGTATTTGACTCAGGCAGATTTCCCGTTCTCCGTCAGAAAGCTCCATTGTTTCTCCGCGATAAGTGAGGGAGAAGTCATTAACTTCTATGTATTAGATGGGATTTTGAGGGTACTTGAGTTGTGTAACGTGGAATGTGGTCACCGTAGGATTCAACATCCTCCATCGCTATCTCCGTCACTAACTTCCTCATATTTTTTTTAAATGATAAAAAAATCAACAACTGCAATTAAAATTTGACATTTTCTATTTATCTGTCAAAAATACTCCCCTGAAAATGTCATTTCTTTTCTTTCTTTGAGTGTTTTCAAGTAGGAGCTGACTAGATGCCGTCCAAGATAAATGATTATGTATCACATTTCAAGGTCACAGACATGAAAAGGACATATGTCTGCATGACCTTGGCTTTTTTTTCATTCAGAGCAGTTACTTCCAATAATCAACTCAATAGCACTCAGAATTTATTTTCAGAGCAGTTACTTCCAATAATCAACTCAATAGCACTCAGAATTTATTTTCTGAGGGGGGCCCTGTAATAATGTTTCAGTTTCAATAGTTGAATTACAATGAATGGCTTCTTTGTTGGGTTAGAGAACCTCTTGTTATGCAGTGAAATATGTACAAGTGGTTACTACCTATCTTGTTTTGTGTTTTACTTTTATCAGTCTGTCCACATCCTTAGCTCCTAATACACAACTTTAAAGCTAAGAAATTTTAACTATTCCTTTTTTATGCCCCCCTTCGTGGAAGGGAGGGCATATTGCTTTGCTGCTGTCTGTCGATCGGTCTGTCGGTCCATTTAGTTTCCGTTCATTTTCTTCACAACTGTTACACATACTGAAATGAAATTTGGTATACAGGTATATCAGATGAATATCTAGGTCAAGTTCTATTTTGGGTATGATTGCACCATAATTGACAGAGTTATACCCCTTGGACTTAGAAAAATTCCATATTTTGTAGTTTCCGTTCATTTTCTTTGGAGAGGTTGCACATATTGAAATGGAATTTAGTATACAGGTATATCAGATGAATTTCTAGGTCAAGTTCTGTTTTGGATATGATCGCACCATAATTGACAGAGTTATGCCCTTTTGGACTTAAAAAAATTCCAATTTGTGGGGGAGGGGGGCACAAGTGTTTTACAAACATCTCTTGTTTAAGGAGGAATGTCACACCAACTTTTTTTTTATAGATCTCTGAGTCAACCTTTTTAAACAATGGTTTCAGCATTGAAAGGCTTTTTTCATTTTCTTTGAAAAAATACCAAAAAAATAATATAAAATAATTAAGAGCTAATATCGGCCTTTCAATGCTGAAACCATTGTTTAAAAAGGATGGCTCAAAGATCTATGAATTAAAATAAAAAGTTGGTGTGACATTCCACCTAAGTTTTTTGGAAACTGGATATGGTAAGAGTTTTGTCCGAGGTCAAATGTGGTTTGTAAAGGTCAGAGGTTAAATGTCCGCTGCCATTTTGTGAAGGTCAGAGGTTAAGTGTCAAATAGGACTGATGTCTACAAAGGAAATTTTGTTCCTCCTGTGATAAAGAATTAAAGATGTGGGGAATGAGAGTATGCTAGAATTACATTGTCTGTCTGTCTACTTAAAATTACCGGTAAATCCACTCGCATACACGCTACACTAACATCTAACAACATCCCATAAGAGGGTCACGTCAGAAGTCAAATTCTATCAACCAATCAAATCCTCACCTGCAAAATCATTATATATTTGTTGAAACAAATAAGTCTAGAGTTGTTCTAAATTTGACCTCTGACGTGACCCTTTAGTTTATGGGATGTTGTTAGTTATAGTAGCTAGTATGCGAGTGGACCTAACATCTAATTTCAATTACATTGTCTGTCTGTCTGCCTATATATCTTTCTATAAGTGTTAGCTAGGCATCTTATGGTGTATCATCTAACATGGATATTTATTCTACAGCCAGCATTGATATTTTTAGTTCTAAACAGCATTGATATATCTATATATCTACCTAGACAGTTCACCAGACTAAGAGGACACATAATTACGTAACATTTCAGTGCGGCAGATTCTCCTGTCATATTTCCAGGTTCTTTAGTCTTTTTATCTGATCAACTTTTTGTCACTCTGCGGAAATGACTCATAGACTAGATTGTTGTGCAACTTATTGAATTCTGTGTACAGTTAAGGTTCCCAATCGTAGATAAGACAGACTCTTTGAAATGGGGTGTTGATCCAACAACCTCAAATTTAAAGAGTTTGAAACTTCAGATCAGTTTAAGAAAGGGCATTAGAAATCTACTTTCTGTTCAGTTTACGTAATTAAAATTAAGTGCAGTGTTTGCAGTTTACGTAATTTAAAAAAATTAAGTGCAGTGTTTGCTGTCTCGTTCAAATTACTCTCTATAAATCAACTTTTTGTTAACTGTATGAGGCCTAAAGCAAAAAGGTAATCTCTCCCACTCTCTCTCTCTCTCTTCCTCCCTCCCTCTCTCCCTCTCTCTCTCTCCCTCTCGATCGATCGATCGATCGGTCAATGGAAAATATGACAATTGACCCTATATACTGTCTCACTGAAAACAAAATACTGGGAAAGGGAGGAGGGGGGTGGATTCTGTTGTGAAATGCAAAAAAATACAATATTCAGTCTACAGAATGCTGCTCTGAGAATGAAAAAGAAACCTTGAGATACTTCTGTTTTATTGACAATGATCCTGATGTCCTATCACAACCACAGAAACCTCTGTACATAAGTCATTAATTTCTAACCAGCTCGCAGGAAAATAGTTTTGTGGATTATATAAGACAGTAAAATAAGAATTGTTTTCAAACTTTAGAATGAATTCCATCATTGTAATCAGTGTCACTATGTGAATCAGTTAGAACAAGGGAATTAAGTTCAAGTCTGATTTACTGAAAATAAAGTAAACTTAGGTGTCAGGGCTGTGCCATGATTTATCAAAACTCAGATTTCCCAAACTTTTCAGCCCCACCTAGTGAGAGAAACGAATGTGAAAACCGTGTATTATGTAATATTTACATTTGTTTACATTTTTAAATCATCATTTGGCAAATTCATACGTTATCTTGATTTTTGTGGCTGTTTTGTATCAGTTAGCCTGACGTGAGTGGGAGGAGGCCAGTTTTAGTGTTATAAGGGCTCTGTTTCATGTCGATTAGAATTATGACACCATATATTGCATAGTACAGGTAGAGCTATTTAGAAACAAATGAAATAGTAGTAAATAATGCATATTTATAATAAATGAATCAAATTAAGAAAAAATAAAATTAATAAAATATAAGATATATTAATGTTTCTAAATGCAAGATATTTGTAAATTGACTTGTTATGGTCACTAGAATTCCTTTATATTGGACACAGATGGTTCCATCTTGTCACCGGGCTCAGTAAGTAAAATCTGTCGACCTGTCAACTTAGTGAAAGCTCAGCTGAATTAGAAGAATAGAGAGATAATGCATAATATATAGAGAGCACTTAGAAACTGAATTAATTTTCACCTGGAATACATTAAATGACACAATATACAAAAACTTCATTAATGACAGGAAATTATGTGTATTTGTATACTTTTGTGATAACCAAAGTCATTCAATTTGACTGCAAAATTTCAAGAAAATAATTTTTTTATGAATATGAATTGAAAATGTATTTTTTGGGGAGATTTATTTCCTAAATAGCAGGGAGATGGCAGAAAAAAATAATGAAAGTCAAAAATTATTCCGTTTTCATTTCATTAATAATTCATTTAGAGTGAGAGGGTTTTTATATGGTCTGATTAAAATTCAGATTGCCGATGCATTACAATGCTGGGAGGCCATTAGAGCAAAATAACCCGTGCATTTCAGGTAGTTAAGGTGTGTTAAAACACAATGGCTATATTTACCATACTTCAGCATACATACAAATCAGCACATCTCCATTTGCATAATGCAGATATTACCAAACCCAAGATTCATTCACAAAAACTTTCAATTTGTATAATAAAAACCCATGGACATTTAAACTGGCTGACTGACTTGGATGCGTTTTTTATTGCAGTCTTTTCAGTGGAGTGAAATGAGTTATTATAGGTGGTGTGTTGATTGATAATTTATCTGCCTACAGCAGACAATCGCTGGGTCCTGTCCAGTAGTTTATGTTCTCACCACCATTCACCAAGTCTCCCCTCAGCCAAGACGGGGGTAGAGTTCTCAGGCTCCCACACAGTTTTACGAGGGAATCTCTCTCTTTTTATGCCCATGCCTGGATTTTTATGACAATCCTGTTAGTTTTCTGAGATTGATTCACATGCATCTTTCTCTCTCTTTTCAGGTCCACAATGTGAACTTTGCCTTTGAGCTGATGCAGGATTCAGGACTGGCCAAACCCAAGGCCAGACCAGAAGGTAACAGGCTTCATCATACCTCAACATACCTCCTCATACCTTCCTTATACCTTCCTCATCATACCTCATCAAACCGGCCTCAGCATTCAACCAACAACTCTTAATCTACAAAAAATTGAATACCAGATTCCCATCCCAACCAAATTATGAATTTTATTGTACTCTTTAAATGCACAATTATTTCATGCCAATTATAAATCATTTGAAGCCAATTGTTATACTAAAGATTTGACTTTGAAAATTTCAGTCTACCTGAGCAGTACATACAGCCTTAGGGCTTACTGCTGGTATGACTGGACTACAAGGGATGCTTATCCCCCCCAGGTACCTGATCCCACCTCCTTAATTTCCAGGGGGGCATGTTCTATGCCATGTTCACATTTTTTTTTCTTATCTATTTTAAGATCAATTGATTTATATTCAGCTTTTTTTTTTCATTTGTCCAGGACGCTCACACTTTTACATTGTTAATACTAAATTAAAACCATTTTATAATATTATTTAATGCATGTTATATTAAAGTATTCCTCACTTCTTTTTATACCAAGCCCATTTTCAACCTATTTTGAAAACAAAATTTAACATTTTGATGATTTGAACAAATTGACTGAATTTTTTTTTTTTTTAAGTTTTCCCTTATTTTTAACTTTTATGAATTTCAGCGATAATATTCAAATTAATACGGTAAATGTTCACATACTTTAAAAATACAATTAATGATGTGATCAGAAATAAACGAGCCTGGGTTGCTTCTACAGACAGACAAGATTGAAGCAATCAGGCAGAACTACATTTTGTCGATGACAATTATTTTAAAAATCGTGATATTGTCTTTTGTGTTATTGCACTTGAAAAAGGTTCCCAACAATAGATGTATATCTTAAAAAGATAATGAAAAATTGATAAATCATAAATGTGTTCCTATATAAAAGTTCAACAAATCTATTTTGATCATTTGATTATGTTTGAAATTTTATAAATTGAGATGAGGTACTGATCAATCTTTATGTGGGTGGTGAAATGTTGTGTACCGCATCCTCACGGGGGATTTTACTCTACAACAGTGATCCTATCTTAATAATGTTTAAGAAAATAAAACAGAATTTTGTGATTTGATCAGTCTTTACATTAGATGATGTACTGAAATTAAAACTCCTATTCCTCAGAATCTATCTAATTTTATGGAGAATTACAGTGATGTTTTAGATAACAAATACGGTATGTACTACAAGATGTTTAAAACTGATTTCTAATTTTGTTTTGCAGATGTTGTCAACCAGGACTTGAAGTCCACGCTTAGAGTCTTGTACAACATTTTTACCAAATACAAGGGTCAAGGTCTGTAACCATGGAAACCGTAACCAATGACAATCAGGATGCTATAAATACTCAAAAAAGTCATACGCAGCAGCCAGAAAAATCAGCTTGCAGAAGTGAACCATTCAATGTGGGAATCTTGTTTTTGACAGTTGTCTGTACACAGAATTTTTTTTATGTAAATTAGGTGATTGAGATATTTGAACTTTGAATGATTCTGTAATTTTTAAAAGGAGATTGTACCCCTCGTAAGTTTCCAGAAGAAAACAGCTGGATAATGTAGACTGGGGGTTATTTATAGCTGTTAGGTGAAGCAGGATGAAACCACTGATAGGCATTATACCAAAAATTAAGTTTATAAAATGCATTGATTAGAATTTTTAACTCTCTGCAAACATATGCTGTAACGACTATAGGTATATTACAGGCCCTGACATTTATATGTAAATATCAGGCAGGGCACTTCCGGACATATGAATGAAATGAAAAGTTTCTAAAATTTCATTCAAGTAAATTTTGAAATAATCCACTGTATTTTATTTATATCATACATTACATCACAATAATTTTTGACAAAATCATAGTTTACTGTATATGAATTTTTTCTCCAAATGAATGTAAAAATTATACCTACCTTACATTAATTAAACTAAATACTTTAAGCAAATAGAACAATATCTAGAAGATTTTGACATCATGGTTAATGGATTCATATATTTGTACAAACATTATAACAGGGTCAGTTGTGTGATTGAATTATAATAGATTGACTTGCTTAATCCAGGTCAAGTGGGTGCTTTACCCTCGATAAAATAACTGAACTCCATTTCAAAAAAAAGTCAAATGAATCATTGTTAATGAATCTTTGTACACTATGTTATAATAATGCTTACAATCTGCTCACCCCTTGTCCTCCAAATCCCCCCCCCCCACCCCTAAAAAAAAATATACAGAAGATCTTTTTGGCCCCAGTTTTCAACCCTTGCTTTTCTAAAGTGTGGAATACCATGTAGTAAAAAAAAACCCCACTCCATCCCCCTAAAATCCTAACTTGATTATTTTTACTTGCCTAAAAATATTGTTTTTTAGTATCCTGAGTGGAATTCTTAGATCCCCCATAGATTTCATTTATTAGATCCCCTTTATCTGGTTTGATCTGCACTTGAAGTTTGTTTCAGATCTACCTATGTTAGTGTGTATTATATTATCCTATGTATTTGTTCTTTTGTGTTTTGTATATTTTACTTGAAGGATTTTTAATAACAAAAAATAGAAGCCAAATTTACTGTTGCTGAAATCACAGACAAAATGTGCCAAGAAACTGAAAATGCATATAAACAAACGAAGCTTTGTTAATTTCTGAGGAATCGTAACAATTACAGGAGGCATTTATACGACAGAGTTCCCACATTTCCTTATAACTGCCAGTCATTGTTTACCATATTGTTCTGTTAATGTTACTGTAGTTAGGTCTGTTTACACATCATGCTGCAGTTTGGTGCCTCCTAGTACATTGCCGTAATTAAGTTAGTTTTACTTTAATCATTTTATCAAGTGCGTTTTCTAATCCTGTCTAAATGCTGCCAATTTTTAAACGTGGCTGCAAGTTAAGTTCCTGTTATAAGTTAATTTCTATTTTCAATTACTGCAATTGCAGAAAAATAGCTGTTATAGCTCCTAGCTGAAATGAATCACACAGTTATTGTAAATGACATGGCATTACAAATGTGGCAGACATCTCTTTAAAATGGCTGCGTGATGTGAAGATTATCGTTAACTCTTTTCCCCCTAATGCATTACATCCTTTACCCCCTGATGCCACCATTTGACGCTATGCCCCATTTCCCTGATGCCACCATTTGACGCATACACACAACAACCCTAAATTAGCTCGGTGATTTCCCCTGTTTCTAAATAAATTCAGCTCTAAATGATAGCCAATCATGTGTATTACACATTAGGTAATGTTACTTTAATTAGTGAAGTCACAGCTTGGTGTGAATTCACTTGAGATTTACCTGTGTGAAAACAATGGCACCCAGTCTGTTTACAAGAAGATATTGGGCCTTGTCACAAGCAAAATTCAGCCTTAATATTGCATTTTATGTAACATACCTTGGATTGTATTAGCATTCACAATGTTTTTACATCAGTTCTAAAGTTGAATTCAATAGAAATAAAATTTTACAATGAAAATTAGAGGAAGAACATCATAGAATCTTTAACAAGAACAACAATGGCTGCCACAGATTTCCCATGCTTTTTATGAGTACTAAATAATCTACTTTCAGCATTTTTTTCATCAGGGCATTGGTTTAGATAAAAACATGTATTAATTTATTTTCCCCAAGACTTTTGCAAGAAGTGGTCAACTAAATATATAAAATATTTATAAACATGCCTGCTTGAAATGATTGTGAAGTTTAGTTGGCTCAATTCTAAGATAATTACCTATTATTATTAATCTATCTTAATTAATATTAATTAAACAAAAAAATAATGAGCCTTTTAATTGGTTTGGTGTTATATTTAAAGTTTACTGGTATATTTTATAGAAAATTTCTCTCATAGAAGGGATAATATGAAGATTAGTAGTGAAAAATTCATTTTACCTGGTTTCACCTATATATTGTTAATTGTAGATTAATTATTCTTAAAAAATTATATGACAATATTAAAGTTCAATCCATTCCCCAAACATTGATATATAATATGTGACACTTTGATGATGTTTAGGTACTTAATTAGCATGTTCTAAATGTAATGGTCAGTCAATTCAAGTCAGTCAAAATGGCTTCAGGGGGCAGCCAGATAAACACTCTAGGGAAATAGCAAGTGCGTCAAATGGTGGCAACAGGGGGAAAAGAGTTAATGATTAATGCAGTGATTTCCATACACATGTATTTTATCAAATTTTTCTTTGGTATATCAGTTCCCTGGGTAGATGTGTGGGATGCAAGAAGCAAAATTACATCAAGTGCACACACAAAGAATCTGCCACCTTAAGTGCACACATAAAGTATCTGCCACCTTAAGTAAGTTGTGCTGTAACTTTAAGCACATGCAATATCGACCCAAGTTTTTGGACACACCAGTGTTTACCGAGTAACAATGTTCGACCAGTATTTTTGTCTGTAAAATGCAGTAAGGAGGAAAATTATGTTAGAGTAGATGTAGAGTGCAAAAGGACTTAAACTTCAGGATATTGTTCCTCATTCTTTAAAAGAAAAAAAATTAATTTTTACTGGCATCGAAATATTGTTTGCACATCATTTTGATTTTTTCTAAGATTTTTTTTCTTTTAGAATGTTACACCATGATAAGATGTTCAAAAAATGGAATTTTTCGGTCAATATTTGCTATTTGACTTGATTACGTATTCATCACATGTGTTTTGATTTGATATGTGTCAAACATTGACTTTTGTTTTTGTATTATTAATGGTGCTACTGTAACCTTATTTAAATAGTCTTTCAAAGCCAAGTGTAGATCATGTATATTAATAAAAGCAAATAATAAAGTCACAGCGTTTCCTATTTTATCATGTTCTGAACGTTAAATGTGGAAGTTTGTTGAGGCATACAAACCATCATGTTGGTATTTTTTGTGTTACCTCAACAGCATTTGAATTCATGATTATACCACGGAAACATACTGAAATATAGGAAGCAGGTTTGAACAAGAGTTTTCTGCCCGTGGTGGATGATTTTACATAGGGAGCAATTATCTTATTTATTAGCTAAAATTGGTTTTTTTTTATTTTTCAAGAAATAAATTATTTATGTAGAATTCAATGCATTTTCTTAAGGGGATCCATCCTTGAACCCGGTATCTGAAAAAAAAAAAAAAGAAAGAAATCTAGAGTCAAAGTCAGAAAAGAAACAAGAATACTACAGTGGAAAGTTATGGAAGTCAGAGTTACCATTGGTGGATAAAAAATTTTCGTTTTGTTTTGTGGTTTTTTTTTTTTTGGGGGGGGGGGGGTGTTAGGGGCCCATGCATTCCCCATCCCTGAAAAAAAGGACGATAATTTTTTATTCAGATGTATAAGTATTTATTAGGGATGACTTGATTCCTTTCCCAGCCGCTATTGCGTGGATCCGCTCCTGTATTGCCACAGTCAGTATACAACTACCTCATATTGTTCTTGTTATTGCATCTGTCCACAGAGACGTGTCTTTAACACATGGTTTCATTTTACAGCATAACGTTTCGAAGGCGATCGCAATATTAAAGAAAATGGAAGAAGATTTATTTATAAGAATAATTATTTAATAAATTATTTTATTCAGATTATATCGTGCTTTTAATTTTACCGACAACCCCCCCCTTCCCATTAAAAAAAAAACTCGCATAATACAGAAGCAGGTCAGTGCTCTTTCTCAGTTAATTCCTAGCACGAAGAAACCAATTCCATTATGCCCCTCTGTACTTTTGGGGGAGACGTTCGTTCTAGGAATGACTGACATGCAGATTTTTTTGCCGGTGAAGGATAAACGCCACATTAACGGGCGGGGGGTGGCTCTCTTTCCCTCGGTGTTTTCGGCTAGTTAATTAAAACAGGGGGAATCTGATCCGAAGAATGCGTGTAATTCCTCCAATCATCATTAGAGCCCCGTCAGAGCTGGCCAAGAATCCACGGAACATTAATTTCAAAGATAAACTCCTCTCAAACAAAGCTTAGAACTCGTCATCTTGTGTGTAGTTTCCTTACTGAAAATATTATTGTAGACTTCCCTGTACAAACGGGAGGGTGATAAGGACAGCCTCTCAGGGTTTGTTTTGTGGAGGAGGGTGTGAAGTATAGGGCTCTGGTTCTCTGCCCGTGTTGTTCTAATGTGGATCTCGTATATCACATTGTCCCCGAATTCGCAGTAGCAGTGCTCCTACTTAGTTTTGTACAAGCTGACTTGCACCATTTCGAAATTTTTGTACACCCCCCCCCCCTTCTAGCCACAAAAATTTTTATTTTCGCAAATATATTTTAATGCTCAATGAAATCCGGATTATCGTGA